ACCTAGAGTCACCTGAGAAGAAAGTCTTGACAGGAAATACCTGAATCATATTGGCCTGTGGCCATGTGTGTGGAGAAGTGCCTCAATTATTGTTGGAAGGCCCAGCCTACTATAGGTGGCCCCATCCCTAGGCGGGAAGCCTTGGGCTGTATATGCAACTAGCAGAACATAAGTCTGATTGAGTGAACCAGTAAGCAGTTTTCCATGCTTCCTGCCCGGATTTCCCTTCACAATTAAGAGTATGACCTAGTAGTGTAAGCTGAATAAACCCCTTCCTCCTAAGTTGCATTTAGACAGAGTTTTATTTATCACAGCAACAGAATGAAATCACAACACTGGGTTTCAGCATTAAACATGAGGATTGAGTGTCAGAGTAAGGCGTTTCAAGGTTAATGTGTCCACAGACTAATGCAGGAGGGAAGTCTAGAGTTGGGAAACAGTGAATGGGATTTACAGAGTCGGTGGGCAGGAATTACAATATACAATACTGTGGGTCTTAGGTGGGAATGAAAGGTTCAGGCATTACACTGACCTGCCCTGTTACCTGGCAGAATGCACTCAGGCAACACTCTGGCCAGCCCAGAGTTCAGACAAGCAGGTGCAAAGGACCCCTCTTTAATGGACAGACCCCTGCCCACTTACGCTCTCATCATCTCTTCTCTATCATGTCTGTCCCCTCCTTTCAGTCTCGCTATAATAAACTATGATTAATATGCTCTCCATGGCTTGTGCTCTGCCTATCGTGCTGGTCCTGGTTCCCAAATTAACAAGAGGTACCATCAAGAAAATAGCGCACACATAATAGGAGACTGTATTTGCATACAACTATGAATAACCTATACTGAGTGTATACAAAGCCTACATTCAGTAGTAAACAACCCAAAAGAAAAGAATGGACAAAAGATTCCAGAAGGCATTTCTCCAAAGACAAATGCCCTCATGAATAAAGCTCAGCACAGCAGAGCAGCACCATGGGGGCTAGGATGCAGCTCAGGCGAGAATGCCTGTCTGCCACGTTCATCTTCCCCAGCCCCTAAAACAACCAAAGCTACAAGGAACCCGCTTCTCAACCACTAAGACAGCACGGAAAATAAGACGTTAACCATTGTCAGTACGTCCCACGGAGACTAGAACATACTTGCTGGTAGGCATGGAAATGGTTTAAAAGCTGCAGAAAGGAGGTTGGGAGTTTCTCAAACAGTTCTACTTTTGAGCATAAGCTCAACAGATAGAACACATGATGCCCCTATCAAAGCTCATGCATGGGCTATAGCAGCATTATTAAGTAATAAAAGTGTGTATCAAGCAATGACTGCATAAAACACAGCACATCCATCTAAAAGATATCTGGCAGTAAGAAAGAACAAGGTGTCAAGATGGGAGGGCTCAGAGACAGCCGGGAATGGGAAGTGGCTGACCCAGTAGGCCAGGAAGCACTGGGGTTGATACTCAGCATCATAAAGAACAAGAGAAAGGGGGAGGAAGGGGTTAGGGGAGGAGAGGCAGGATATGGAAAGAGAAAGGAAGGAGACAGCAGGAAGAGAGTGAGAATTTAGGAGGGAGGGAAGAGCTAGACACAAAGGAACATATTTTCATCATTTCATTATAAAAAGACACATTCAAAACAAAGTTAGAAAGTGGATTAGTGACTGTCAGAAGCTAGAGACAGAGAAAGGCCAAGTTGGACTTTGGTGGAATCGTACTTTACTCTGTCATGTCCTTGGTGACCTATCTGGGATGAATAAACATTTGTTTGCATCTCCCTAGGAAAAGTTAATGCAACACTGGGTAAGTAGGAAAATGTCATCTTTAATAGAACAGGAGCTCTTTATTAATGTGTACAAACAAGTACATGTATAAAGATGAACACAAACAATTGTCTCACAGTATCTGTGGGGGTTGGTTCTAGTACTACCCCTCAAATATGAAAACTGTGGATGCGCAATCATCTGAAGAAAATGGTTGAATATTTACAATGCCACCTACTCATGTCTTCAAGAATATTTTACGATTTAAGATCACTCAGATGAGTGGCAGTGGTGATGGCACACACGTTTAATCCCAGAACTCAGGAGGCAGAGGCAGGTGGATCTCTGTCAGTTCTTCGGGGCCAGTCTGGTCTACAGAGTGAGTTCCAGGACAGCTAGGGTTGTTATTACAGAGAAACCCTGTGTCAAAAAACAAACAAACAAAAAAAACCAGACCACCCATATCCCTGACATGCCATGTGGACAGTGTCAGACTACACCGCTTAGGGGAGGGCAAGAACATCTACACACAAGCAATACAATTGAAACCTTTAATAAGTTTTCTTCCGAGCCGGGTGTTGGTGGCGTGCACCTTTAATCCCAGCACTCGGGAGGCAGAGGCAGGCGGATCTCTGTGAGTTCGAGGCCAGCCTGGTCTACAGAGCGAGTTCCAGGACAGCCTCCAAAGCCACAGAGAAACCCTGTCTCGAACCCTCCCCCCCAAAAAAGTTTTCTTCCTTCCATTTTTTTGAGATAGGGTTTCTCTGTGTATCCCTGGTCATCCTGGAACTCCCTCTGTAGACCAGCCCGGCCTCAAACTCAGAAATCTACCTGCCTCTGCCTCCTGAGTGCTGGGATTAAAGGGATGAGCCACCACCGACCAACAATTTAATTGTATTTTTTAAAAAGGATTTATGTATTTATTACGTATACAGTGTTCTGCCTACATACCAGAAGAGGGCACCAGATTGATTTGTAGATGGTTGTGAGCCACCACGTGGTTGCTAGGAACTGAACTGAGTCAGTGCTCTTACCCTCTGAGCCATCTCTCCAGCCCCTTAATTGTATTTTAACTATGTGCAGGTTTATGCATGTGAGTACAGGTGCTTTTAGAGGCCAGAAATTAGTATTTGATCCCAGGAACTGGAGTAACAAACAGGAAGCTGGGAGCTACCTAATGTGGGAACTGAATTCTTCTCTACAAGAGAAGTATGTGTTCTTAATCACCGAACCACCTTTCCAGCCCTTCCTAAATATTTCCCATCTATGAAGGGTTGACTCCACAGACATGGAGGCTCTGCGCACAGCACCTCACATTCTCCCCCTCATTTGATAGTCACTGTGACAAGCCCAAGAGAACAACCTATTTGCCCAAGCTTGTTTATTGGGGAGTGGTGAGATTTAAACCCAAAAGCACTTATTCAGGCCAATCAGAGTCTGAGAGTCTGGTGCAGTAGATCATGAAAGAAGGTGAACATAAGCATATTTCACATACAAAGAACCTAAATAATCCTTGTTTTGAAACAAGCCTTCATTAAATTGCTCAGACTAGCTTCAGACTTGGGGCAATCCTGCCTATAGCCCCCTTGAGTGATGGGTTTATAAGCATGTGCCACCACACCAGCTCTAAGTAATCCATAATTTAGATTATGAGGAATTCATTAATAAACTCAAGCATTTGTCAACCTCAGAATTAAACTAGCAATTTTGTATGTCAAACTTGTACATAATTTAAAAACTCTAATAGCAATGGTTCTTCTAAAACAATTTATACCAATCCCAGCTTATTCCTTTCATCATTCATGGAAGCTCTATGGCTTTGTTTGTTTTTTTTTTTTTTTTGAGACAGGGTGTCTCTGTATAGCCTTGGAACTCACTCTGTAGACTAGGCTGGCCTGAACTCAAAAGCTCTACCTGTCTTTGGGGTACTGGTTTTAAGGGTATTTTTAAGGGTATGTGCCACTACTGCTTGCCTGTTTAATGGCTTTGTAAAGCAGATTAGGGCTGGTGATAGGGCTCAGTGGGTAATAGGGCCAGCTGCCAAGCCTAAGATCTGAGTTCAATCTCCAGGATCCTCATGGTGGGAGAACAGGCTTTTCCAAGTTATCCTCTGACCTCCACATGTTGCAGGCATAGGTCCACACACATACAAAGTAAATAAAAAAAGTAATAAAAGCCGGGCGTTGGTGGCGCACGCCTTTAATCCCAGCACTTGGGAGGCAGAGGCAGGCGGATCTCTGAGTTCGAGGCCAGGCTGGACCGAGAGCCTCCAAAACAATACAGAGAAACCCTGTTTCGTAAAATCAAAAAAACAAAACCAAAAAAAGCAGAAGGTAAAGGGCCTTCTATTGAAGACTCCCTGAAGTAGACTGCCGCTATCATCCCTCCCATGCTGATGAGCTGAGCAGTAGCCACTATTTATTCTCCAGCTGAGAAAACTGTGTATCAAATCCTAAACACTATTTTAACAGAGATTCAACACCCTGAAAGCACAGAAACAGCACAAACAGGGAGGCAGGCCTACCAGCGCCTATACCGAAGCCCTCCAGGGATGTCTTTAATCAGAGCATATGGTAATTTGCATGCTCACTGTAGAAGGCACATTTAAGCACAGTAAATGTTGCTTTAGGAAACTTAAAGTCTGGCACAAGTGTAGAAAAATACCAACACCCAATCCTTACCCAAAATCTTCCTGTTAGTGAAATGCTTTGCATCTACAAATTGTAGCCTGTAAACCTGGGCTCTGCAGTGAGCCCTTCACAGCATACTATGTTCAGAGAATAAAGGGAAGCTCATAAAGTCACATGACAAGACCTCCTCAGGCCACACTGCTCAGCAGGTGGCAGGCCTCACAAGTTTTTCTAAGTAAAAAATGATCATTTGGTAGTAATTTCTCTTGAAACTAAGGGCCTTATTAATGGGAAGTACTCTAGTGACTAGTCTTAAAATGTGTAGTGTTTCGTCTTCAGAGAAACCATCTGACAAGGAGTTGAGAGACAGCACTGCTACTTTTCAAAGGGCTCAGGTTTGGTTCCCAGCACACACATGCCAACCCTTTAAGCATCTCCAGTCCAAGGGGACCTGATGCCCTCTTCTGGCCTCTGTGAGCACTAGGCACACATGAAGGCAAAACATCCACACATACATAAATAATAATTTTAAAAAATTGACAAACTACATTGTTTTTGCTGATAGAAAATTATTACAATAAGTAGTCTTAAAAATTATGTTACTAGTACATTTATAGCTTACCCAGTGCAAAGCTGTATTTCTGGTGATAATGTTCCTTATGCCATGGCCATCAAAGAACAGTCTGAATTGTTCAGAGGAAATGCATTTCTCAATTTTGCTTTAAGTTGAATCAAACTGATTTCTGAAAGCAAAAAATCACACAGAAAATTGAAGATGCTCAGTTTGAGTTTGTTCAGTGGTTAAGAATTCCTGATGCTCTAGCCTGTCCTGGAACTCGCTCTTGTAGACCAGGCTGGCCTTGAACTCACAGAGAACCGCCTGCCTCTGCCTCCTGAGTGTTGGGATTAAAGGCGTGCGCCACCACTGTCTGGCTCCTATCTCTTAAATTAAAACACACAGGGACCCTCATTCTGCCACATGGGCTGGCCCACGCTCTCATCAGCCCCTGCCATACCGATGCCTGCGTTTATCTATGGCGTTAATCTGTCTTCTAGAGCACTTATTAATCTGCCCAGGAAACCCGAGGAGGCTCCACTGAAAAGGGTTTCTCTCTGGGGTCCCTCCCCCTTGTTATTGCTTTCTCTCTATCTTACTGCATTTTACACTGAGGGATTTTTCTGGTTTTCTAGGCGCTCCATCCATTTGTTGCCCTTCCCAGAAAACTCAATCATGGGTCAGAGTGGTCTTCCAGGCTTGGGTCAGGCTCTACTGCCTTTAAAGAGCCTAACTTTTCTTGGTTTACTGCTAGTGACACGTGGTGTCACACCTCTGGAAAGAAGTTCTTCTGCTAGAAAACTCAAGTCTGTAAGATCACAAGACCCATGCTGAGGGTTTGGGTGACCTAACTGGTCAGATAAACAGCCCGATAGAAGCGCCTATTTCTTTTTCTTTCTTTCTTTCTTTCTTTCTTTTTTTTTTTTTGGTTTTTAAAGGCAGAGTTTCTCTGTGGCTTTGGAGACTGCCCCGGAACTAGCTCTTGTAGACCAGGCTGGTCTCCAACTCAAAGATCCGCCTGCCTCTGCCTCCCGAGTGTTCGACACCACCTCCTGGCGCACCCATTTCTTTATCATTTAGAACTTTAGCTCATGTGTGGCAGTCCTCGCAGGAATCAAACTCTTGGGCACTGGAAGCAGGAGGATCAGGAGTTCAAGGTTATCACACTGGGAGCTTCAGGCTACTCTGGGATACAGACACTATATATTTGCAAGTTTGTTTTGAGACAGGGTTTCTCTATGCAGCTCTGGTTATTCTAGAACTCCTGTAGACACACTGGCCTAGGAACTGTTGAGTTCCAGTACTCAGGAGGCAGAGTCCAGCCTTCCAGGACAGCCAGGGCCAGAGAAACCCTGTCTTGGAAAACTAAAACCCAACAAAATAAAACAACACAAAAACCCCAAAAACAAAAACTTGAAAAATGAATTTAAAGGCAGGCAACATTTACAAAACAGGAAACAAATAGACAAGCAAAAAACCAAAGGCCTGTGAAGAAATAACAGATCATTTTCTACTCTAATAAAGGGGAACTTTTCCAGCTTTGCAAATTCTCTGCGTGCCAAAGGCAGAGTGTTTCTCAAGTTGCCACTAGGGCAAATGTCTGCATTGATTCCAAAGGGGCAAGGAGTGGGAAACTGCTGTCATTCCATTTAAAGCCTTCAGGGCCGACTCCTTTTGTAAGCTTTCAGCTGAACCTGCTGCTATTAAGAGCTTGCATCAATACAAGGGATTCAACTAAAATGTTCCAAACCAAGTTTCTAAATTGCACTCTGGACATGCTTAAAAGAGCTTCAGAAGTCTCCAGAGTACCGGCTGCTGTGTGGATACAGTATAAACAGCACAAAACTTAGCACTGCTACTTTGTGTAATGTTATGCTCACATTACATCACTCACAGTTGTGCCCAATCCATTTCTAGAATGTTCTTACGATCTCCTAAACCCCTGTGTACACCGAAAGCGGTATCTGACTCTAGCACTTGATAAATTGTTTTATGTCCTGTCTATTCCTGACACTCGAGTCCAAAAGTTTTAAACGGTATTTGTCCCTATGCCTCACTTCGTTCCGACAGTACTTTGGAAGCATGCAGGGAGTGAATTCCTATGAGGTTTCTAAATTCTTCCCTACAATGCCCCTAAAAATTCTGCTTCAGTGTTAAGGATCTCAAGGGCAGATGTCAACCTGGTCGTTCCTGAGCCTGTAGACATGCTGGCCTGGGGCAGTGTCTGACAGCCCCGGAGGCCATCTGGGGTTCCTGGAAAGAGCAAGTAACTGTGGAGAGCTGTGTAGACCACAGGGAAGAGAAGTTCAGGATTCACTAGCTGCCTAAACCCTGAGATGGGCCTTCAGTGTTGAGGGCCAGGAGCTCCCGACACTTTGTGCGGTCGGGCGACTGAGAATGTCGCCCAGGCGGGCGAGTTTCACGGGGTCATGAGTCACCTTCCATGGCTCAGAGGTCCAGGCAGGGCCCGCCCTGCCTAAACAAACCCGGTTGGGAGGGAGAGAAACAAGAACACAACACTGGCAGAGAGAGAAAAACACACAAATGGCCTAGAAGCCAGCGTGACATCCGGGCCTTAACCAGAGGAGGGGTACAAGCGGAGTCAAGAAACCCTGAAGCAAGGTGAACGGAGGCGAAGACAAGGTCCCTGGACCGCGAGCTCCAGAGACACGGAGCGGAGAGAAACTCCAGCTGACCAGAGGCCAGGTTGGGGACAGAAGCAAGTGACAAGGGAGTGACAAAGAGACGCAAACTCAGAGCGGCGAGGTCCTGCCTCACGGCGTCGGCTCGCGCGTGGGTGGCTCGACCCTGAGGTCGCCGCGCGGGCGGATCCTCCGAGTGCTCCGGCCCGCCGTGCACCTGCCGCGGGGTGACCTTGGGGACAGAAAGTCTCCCGGTGGCGCTGGAGGCTTCAGGACTCCGAGCCGGGGCGCCGGGGGCCGCGGAGTCGCCCGCGCCGTCCCCGCATCGCGGCCACCGGGGAGAGCTCTCGGTGAGCACCCGCGTCCCGGACGCCCGTGACCCCGACCATGACCTCCCGCGCCGCCGCCGGCCTCCCCAAGCCCGCCGTACCTGCCGGCGGCTCCGCGCTCGCAGCTCCAGCCTACCGGAGCTTCCAGTCGCCCGCACTCAGGCCTGATTCTCCGCCGCCACCGCGGGGACAGCTTCCGCCGGAGTCTCCCGGCCCCCGGAAATGCCTCCCGACCCCGCCCCCCGAAACTGCCAGTGCTTCCGGAGGCGCGTCCGCGACGCTGTGGTGTGCGCATGCTCCAGGAGCCCTTTCGGGGGTGGGCCTTCAGGAGAGCACGCTCAAGGCGGCCAGAGCCTGCGCAATAGGATCCCGCGCTGGTCACGTGTAGGGAGGCGGTACCAGGTCTACAAGAGTGAGCTGATTTCGAGTTCGAAGCTTGTAGGTAGGAACTGCGAGCTAGTTGAGCGGGTAAAGGCGCTCGCCGCCAGGCCAGGTGGCCTGGGTTCTATCCTTGGAACACAGGTTGTCCGCCGACCTCCACAGGCACACTGTGTGACAGCTCACCCCACTCACGCCTACCAAAAAAAAAATAAGATTTCAGGTTGGCTTTGAAGTCATGTAGGTCGCGTTTGGCCTCAGATTCACTCCTGCCTGCACCTCCTGAGTACAGGGATTGCAAGGATGTGTCCCCCCAGCTGGTGTAGGGTACATACTCCTGCTGGACTAGACATTACTGTCTGTGTCTTGGCTCCGAACTTCCGATTTCCCAGCTCTGCGTCTGTTTCGGCAGAAAGAAGGCTGGGACTTTGCAAGAGAATTGTACAGAGAAATGCTGGGGAGGGCTGGAGAGATGGCTCAGTGGTTAGGAGCACTGGCTTCTCTTCTTGAGGACCTGGGCTCAATTTCCAGCACCCACGCGGTGGCTCACAGCCTCAGTAACTCCAGTTCCAGGGGATCTTTCGCCCCCTTCCGGCCTCCACTGGCACCAGGCAGATAAACAGTGTACAGACATGTATGCAGGCAAAACACTCATACAAACAAAACAATTTGGAAAAGAAATTCTGAGAAACACAAACACCCAAATACTGAAGCACCGAACTGGGGACAGGTGCAGAACATCTTGCTAGGGGAACAGAAGTGTGGGGGTTGAGGGAATGGCTCAGTAGCTAAAATCTTTGCAAAGCATTGCAAACATACATGAGGATCAGAGTTCAGTCTCTAGACACGTGAAAACCGCAGGTGTGGTGGCAGGGTTACAATCCTGGTGCTGTGGAGGAAGGGATCGGCGACTTTGGGAACAGTGAGAGAGCCTACCGAAAAGGAGTGCATTGGTGCACACATTTTCAATCCCAGCACTCGGGAGGCAGAGGCTGGCGGATCTCTGTGAGTTCAAGACCAGCCTGGTCTACAGAGTGAGTTCCAGGACAGCCAGGCTACAAGAGAAACCCTGTCTTGAAAAATCAAAAGGAAAAACAAAAAAAGGGAGTGGATGGCATTCCGGAGAGTGACACTCGGGTTGTCCTTTGACCTTTGGCCTCCACAACCACCCATATACCCACACATAGATGAACACACAGACAAATATGCTTGCATACAAACAAAACAAAACAAAACTGGGACTGAGGAGATGCCTCAGGATAAGCTTGAATACAAAGCCAACTTGGGCTACATAGGTAGTTCCAGGTCAGCCTGAACTACACAGTGAGACCTTGTCTCAAAAAGCTTTGACAGGAAAGCAGGCAAGAGCTGGGACAGTCACTCGGTGTCATGTGAAAGCCAGACCTCTCAGGCTCCTTGTTTTGCCTGCCCGTAGTCCCTGTCATTTTATACGTGTTCACTGATGCCTGAACTTCCCCTAGTGAGGTGTGCCCCCAGACAAGAAGAAAGTTAGAGGGGTGAATCACTTAAGGAACATATTTAACTCCACACGAAAGAATGCTTTCCCTGACTCCTCCTGCAGGGACCTCTGTGAGTTTTTCACTTCTATTTACTTCTGTTTATTTGTGGCAAGAAGTTGGTCACATGTCTGTGCCTGATGCAGTACCACCAGCTAATCATGAGATGGTCAAGGCGGTTTGGGCTAAGTCCGAGTCATCTCTTCCAGCAGAGGACAGTCCGCTTTCCCCAAGTTCAAGGAACCACAGCTGGCACCTAAGCAAAGTGTTTGTTTGGCCTAATATTCTCTGTGGGAATTCTTGGAGGTGCTGGGACCTCACTAAAAAGGTGTTTTTTGTGGTAACATCACATGGCTTAGTGCATGCGTGTGCGTGCAGGGGCCGTGAGCTGTGGGGGTGGAGGTCAGACCACTACTCACTGAGAGCTGATTTTCTCCTGCCATGCAGGTCTCAGGGACAGTCGTCAAGTTTGGTGACTTTATCTGATGAGTCATCTCACTGACCCCAGAGTAGCTTACTATAGATATTTAAAAGACAGATTTTAAAGACAGAGAGGCACTCGGGAAGGAAGTAAGACACACCAAAAGCATGCTCGGGGCTGGAATCTCCTATTGTCTTTTAGATGTTGGCTTGTTACATCCGAATGGCCTGGCCACCAGGGAAAACGCCTTCTAGTTTGTGTAACAATGGACCTAGGCCCCTCACCCATCATGGGACTAGCGGGGTGTGCCTGAAGACTGGTGAGACGTGCCTCTGCCGAATGTCTGAGGACTTGCGTGCTTGCCATATCTAGGATTAAAGGAAGTGTTTCCTAGTCAGCCCTGTAAACATGATGATAGTTGTATTCTTCCAGTAACCCCCCCACACACACTTTGGAAAAAATTTAAGAGGATGCTTAAATAAACTGTGGTCCCCAGTATGGACTGAGAGCCCTCTTGAGATGACCAGGTGTGTCTAGGATTTCCCTGATCCACACTCTCCCACACAGGGTTGGACCCGAGGCTCTTTGGCTGGTTCTGAACACAGCCACAAAGACATCAGTCCGGAATAGATGGCCCCTGCAGCGTAGGACTAATACAGGCCAGGTCACAGCACTTCTCAAAGGAGACCCTCACTTTATTGTCTTATAACAACCACCTACGGGGTTTTGGTGAATATTGAAGTTGTCATCATCAAAGAATTGATTCCTAAAATATACCTGACAGTATTAAAAGTGTTTGTAGATGCCTGTGGGAAGCCAGAAGAGAGCACTGGATCACCCTAGAGCTGGAGTTCCAGGCAGTTTTGAGCCCCTTAAATTAGTTTTTGTTTGTTTGAGACAGGGTTTCTCTGTGTTCCACTGGTGTATTCTGTTTACCTAAGAGCCTCATTGTGTCTTTGGTCAGCAAGCATCAACTTGGAGTAGTTTCAGCATAAAGGGACCTCAGAGGTAAAAAGGAGGGAGCTATTGTTAAGTAACACCAATGTGCTAGATATCTATAATAAGGTGTTCATTCATTCATTCATTCATTCATTTGTGGACAGGTGCTGAGGATTGAACCCTCATGCACGTTAGGCAAGCACACTACTAGCTGAGTTACAAATACACATGTGTGTGTACATATATAAATAATATAATAAACTAACATAAATGTATATAATTATGGGGGCTGGAGAGATGGCTCAGCGGTTAAGAGCACTGACTGTTCTTCCAGAGGTCCTGAGTTCAATTCCCGGCAACCACATGGTGGCTCACAACCACCTTGAATGAGATCTGGTGGCCTCTGCTGGCATGCAGGCAGAAGACTGTATACACAATAAATAAATAAATAAAAATTTTAAAATGTATATAGCCATTATGGCTATAACTCAACTAGTTTTATATATGTCTCTGCAGGTGAGATAGGTCTGCTCCAAATGAATTCAATCAGGCAGACTAGGCTAAAGGGACAGGGACTGCTCAGGAACTGGTCTCCTCATGACCAGTCAAAGGGTCTGGTAGCACTTTAAGCTTTCACGTGTTTTCTTTGCTAATATTTTAGTGTCTAACTCGAGCCAAGATAAGTCTAAAGTCAAAGGGTGGGAGAAATCTATTCTCTTCTCCTGGAATTCACTCTGGCCTTCAACTCACAGAGATCCGCCTGCCTCTGCCTCCCGAGTGCTGGGATTAAAGGCATGTGCCACCACCGCCCTGGCTTATATTCCACTTTTACAGGGTTTAGGGTATAGTCCTGTCACAACAGGCATGGACACAAAGATGTACTGACATATTGAGACCAATACATCAAGTGGACCCCACTCTTCCATATTACGTCTATGTGAGTTTCTACTCTGTGTATGAAGTAAATAATTATAGCCTATCTTCGGTATGAGGTGCTTTTACAGTGCATCAGAACATCACAGGCAAGGAGAAGGCACCAAGCCCTGTCTTCCATAGTCGTCCTCTTATGTCTGCCTGTCTAGGTGCTTTCCATTTATCCTAGGGTTTAAGAGTCACAGGGTAGTCTACTATGTGACTGAACCTACACATCAGAAAAGGAGGGAATTTTTTTTTTTTTTTTTTTTTTTTTGGTTTTTCGAGACAGGGTTTCTCTGTGGCTTTGGAGGCTGTCCTGGAACTCACTCTTGTAGACCAGGCTGATCTCGAACTCACAGACATCTGCCTGCCTCTGCCTCCTGAGTGCTAGGATTAAAGGTATGCGCCACCACTGCCAGGCATTAAGGAGGGAATCTTGAGCCCCAGCAGATACATAAAGCTTTGCATCCCGAATCAATAGGAAGGGGACTCTGGCGTGGTGTCAGTACTGGACATGGTACCTTCCCTAAGAACTCAGCCAATGAAGAATTCAGCAGGCAGAGAAATGCTATTAGAAATGTAAAAACCTGCTTATTCTGCACCAAATCGGCACCATGGCCACCTTTGCCTATTGTCTAGACTGATGCTTTGTGGAGGTTGTGAAATACACAGCCTCACACTGGATCTCTGAGTCCTAGCGCTCTTATCCTGAAGTAGGGATCATTGTTTCTCACATCCCAGGACTCTTGAATGTATCAGACTCAAAAGCCTTGGGAAGCTCAAGGTCCGGTCTCTCTTGAACCACACAATGTCTAGATGTGCTTCAACTGGGTTCCAAGATCTGTGAACAGAAGAGAGGCAAGTGTCAGCCTCCGGTCTGGTGTCCCCACATCCCTCCACTCCCCATATGGTCCCCACGCAGTGTGATGAAGAGGAATGAGGCAATCACAACAGATGTGTGGTTGGAAGAGGGAAAAGGCGTGAGAGAGCAGAGTAGCCACTGGTCCACGGCAATCCTGAAATTCCAATGGGCAAAGGCTGCCACATGGTCTAGTT